GAGGAGGGGGCCTGAAGGAAACCTCCTTCCCCAGAGAGTGCTGTGGCCCCAGCCTGGTGAGGGAGAAGCCAGCCCACCAGGAGGCGGGAGATGACAGGGCTGGAGAGGGCCCTGGGTGGCCGGTGGTGAGGAGGAAAGCACCCCATGGTCTCTGCCCGGCTTTGCCCTCCTGCTCCCTGGTCCTCCCTCTCTCCCTGGTCGGATCTGTTGTTCCTCCTCGGAGCCTCAGATGGGAGCTGGAGAGCCAGGCCTGCCTCTCCCCTGACGGTCAGTGTGGGGGCACAGAGAAGCCAAACACACCTTCCAGGGAGGGAGGAAGCCGCCTGCCAGGGGCTTGCTCTTGCTCAGAGGGCATGACCCCCACCCCACCAGGACCCAGAGTGGCTTGACCTTCAGGGATCTGCAGCACTGATGCCCCTGCCACTGGGTCCAGGGACACCTTCTGGTCTGTTCTCTGCCTTTGTCTTCCTGCTCCCTCTCCCACCCCCTACTCCTGTATCAGGAACGAGACCCCCGAGCAAGGCATAGGTCCTCTTCCCTGCCTTCTCCTTGTGCCCCCCAAATGAGGCCCTCTTCCCCCTTTCTTTGGCTCCTGCCCAGGTCTCCCACGCCCACCTCGCGTTTCCCCTTCAGGACCTCTCCTTGGCCACCACATATCTCCTCCAACCTCTGAACTTTTCCTCTAAAAGTAGCCCCTGACTTCTCCTCCTGCACCAAAAATACTGATTTGTCCCAGATCCAAAACACTCTGTGTCCCACAGTGACAACCCCCGTTCAAAAGGCACCAGACACCCTCCCCTAGGTGGAGGCTGCAGTGCTGTGTCAGCGAGTTCATGGGTCAGAGCCCCCAGATGCCACTGGGATCTGGAGGGAACACCATCCCTCTGGAGACAGTGTCCACGCCTATAGGTTCCTCACAGCCACATCTGCCTTTCAGGGCAAACTGGATACCTTGTGTAACTTTGTTCAGAGCTGCAACCAGGTGCCATTGATGTGGTGTCAGCCCAGGGACAAGGTAAGCAGGGGTCAGGCATGTTCCCCGTGGAGGAGGAGCCTTTGATTTTGGCCCTTGACACTTGCCCTCTGGGACTGTGGGTCATCTGCCAAGGAGGAATGGCCAAGACATGGAGACATGGTGCTCTTGAGCCCCCCAGGCCCATTCTGGACATGACACCCATGCATTTCCCTTACATTGTCATGTCGGTAGTGTCAGGAGCTTTCTTATCTAGAGCAATACCCGACCCTTCCAGACCTAAGTAAAAAGGGCTGGAGAGGAAGGCAGGCCAGTGAGGGCTATTGGCTCCCAGTCCATCGTCCCTCCTCACTGCCCACCCAACCTTGTGTGTCTGCTGGCTCCACCCCCTCCAGTGAGACTCTCCTGGGCTGGTCACACAGGGGCCAGGAGTGATGGAGGGCATGTGACACCCTCCCCAATATTGTCTGCCCAACAGTGACTGGTTTTACCAACTGTAAAGATTCCATCCTTCTGTCATTACCTGTGACAATGGGGAGAAGCCAAATTGTTAAAATTGTCATCTTGGAATGTAATAATAATGAAGGCTAATTTTTTTAAGTTTATTTTTTTATTGAGGTGACATTGGTTTATTACATTATATAAATTTCAGGTGTACATCATTATATTTCAATTTCTGTGTAGACTACATCTTGTTCACCACCCAAACCAATTACCATCCGTCAGGGTGCACATGTCCCTTTTACTCCTTTTCCCCTCCCCCCTCCCTTCCCCTCTGGTAACCACCAGTCTAATCTCTGTATCTATGTGTGTGTTTGTCATTGTTGTTTTTATCTTCTACTTATGAATGAAATCACAGGTATTTGACTTTCTCCCTCTGGCTTTTTCCTGCTTAGCAGAATACCCTCAAGGTCCATCCATGTTGTCGCAAATGGCAAGATTTCATCTTTTTTAGGGCTGAGTAGTATTCCATTATGTATACATACCACATCATCTTTATCCATTCCTCCATTGATGAGCACTTAGGTAGTTTCCAAGTCTTAGCTATTGTGAATAATGCTGCAGTGAACATAGGGGTGCAAATATCATTTGAATTAGTGTTTTTGTCTTATTTGCATAAATACTCACAGTGGAATAGCTGGATCTTATTGTAGTTCTATTCTTAATGTTTTGAGGAATCTCCATACTGTTCTGCATAGTGGCTGCACCTGTTTGCAGTCACACCAGCAGTGTATGAGAGTTCCCTTTTCTCCACATCCTCTCCAACACTTGTAATTTCTTGTCTTGTTAATTATAGCTATTCTGATGGGTGTGAGTTGATATCTCATTGTAGTTTTGATTTGCATTTCCCTAATAAGTTAGTGATGTTGAAGATCTCTTCATGTGCCTGTTGGCCATCCATATATCTTCTTTGGAAAAACGTCTGTTCAGATCCTTTGTCCATTTTTTAATTGGGTTGTTTTGTTGTTGTTGAGCTGTATGAGTTCTTTATATATTTTTGATGTTAACCCTTTATCAGATATATGGTTTGCAAATATCTTCCCCCAATTTTTAGGTTTTCTTTTCATTTTGGTGATGGTTTCATTTGCTGTGCAGAAGCTTTTTAGTCTGATGTAGTCCCATTTGTTTATTTTTTATTTTGTTTCCCTTGCCTGAGTAGACATGGTATTTGAAAAGATACTGCTAAGACTGATGTCAAGAGTGTACTGCCTATATTTTCTTCTAAGAGGTTTATGCCTTCAGGTCTTACATGCAAGTCTTTAATCCATTTTGATTTAATTTTTGTGTATGGTGTAATATGATGGTCTACTTTAATTCTTTTGCGTGTGGCTGTCCAGTTTTCCCAACACCATTTATTGAAGAGACTTTTCTTCTCCATCGTATGTTCTTGGCTCCCTTGTCGAAAAATTAGCTGTCCGTCGATGTGTAGGTTTATTTCTGGGCTCTCAATTCTGTTCCATTGATCTGTGTGTCTGTTTTTCTTCCAGTCCCATACTGTTTTGATTACTGTAGCTTTGTAGTATATTCTGAAGTTAGGGATTGTGATGCCTCTAGTTTTGTTCTTTTTTATCAGGATTCCTTTGGCTATTTATATGGTTGTTCCATATAAATTTTAGGATTCTTTGTTCTATTATTGTGAAAAATGTCATTGGGATTTTGATAGATATTGCATTGAATCTGTAGATTGCTTTAGGAAGTGTGGACATTTTAACTATGTAAATACTTCTAACCCATGAGCGTGGAATATCTTTCCATTTCTTTATGTCTGCCTCAGTTTCTTTATGATAGCTAATTTTTATTGAGTCCCTCCCATGGGCCATTTGCTGGCCTAAGAACTTTACACGTTTGCCCTCTTTGCATCCTCCCAGTACCTGTACATGTAGGGACTACTATCATCCCAGTGTTACCAAGGGGGGCAGCTGATGCATGGAGATGCTGAGTTATTTGTCCCAGGTCACAAAGCCTGGGAGTGACAGAGCTAGACTTGAACCCTGAGTTGGGCTCCACCCTTCTCATTGGCCTGGCTCCCTTTCAGGTCAGCACTCATGATCTCATGATGGTTACCCCCAAAGCTGCCCTGGTAACTGCCCTGCTCAGGCCCTGGGGCCCAAGGAGAGTGGTGCCCCTGGCTCACTGGAGCTTGTCTGCCTGGGATCCCCCGCTCAGTCCCTTGGCACAGACTGGGCCTGAAGGACCCTGTCGTCCCCGGGGTCTGTCGTAAGGACTGCGTTGGCCACATTCCATGAATTAGGCAAACACTGGCTCTCGATGACTGGGCAGGGCATTTACAAGTTCTGGGCAGGTCTGAAAGCCTCTGGACACTGCCGATGAGATACACTCGAGGCCTGTGACACCCATCAGGGCCCTGTCTGGTCTTGGAGGTGTCAGGGCTCCTCTGGTAGCTGGGCTTCTGGCTCTGGGTCTGAATAGAGCTCTCAGTCCCAGCCATGCTAGCATGGAAGCCCCACTCTCCATCTGATCCTCCTGCAGCCCCTCCCTAGACCCTAGCCCCATTATGGTCACGAGAGCACCACACCAGCTTTATGCCCTGAACAGTGGAGACACATGCCCAGAGAAGCCCACTTGGGCTGGAGAGACAGAACAAGACAGAGGGTTCAGGCAGAGGAGGCAAAAGGCCAGAGGGTGGACAAGGGAAAGATGCCAGAAATGGCCTTCTCACCCAACGAGGTGAGGGCAGGGGCGCTGAGCAGCTCTCTGAAATGGTCCCATTCCAAGGACCACTCTTTGAAGGTCAGGTTGGGGAGGTGGCAGAGTAATGGATTAAGGGGCACTTACAGCTGCCCAGGGCTCTGCCACACCCCTGCAGTGCCAGCTCTCAAGTCCTCTCAGCAGTCCTCTGAGCCTGGAGTGACTACTGCTGATGGCAAAAGGGGCCCAAGCAGTCAGGGAGGTTGCGGAGGCCCTGCGGAGAGGAAATGGCAGGCCCCAGGGCTGTCCTGAGGAGAGCTGGGAGCCCATAACCGTGCCTGGTGGACATGGGCCCCCTGCCCGCTCCTCTACTCCCATCTTGTTTGACCTTGTCCCTCCCATCCATCGTCCTGGAGACCTGAGTGTTGTATTGTAGGATTTCTCTTGGGTACCCCAGTATTCCAGTAGGTGCAGGAGTTCTGGCTCCTTCTCTTTAACCTTCAGTGCACTGGTCCCAGGCTTTAAAGTGAATCATGGACTAAATAGACTGGGGTGACAGCTGGGACCTGCAGTCTCTGCAGACCAGAGTCACCCCAACCCCAGTCCTGAGTGTGCAGTGCCAGACACCCAGCCCGGGCTGCTTGGGAACACATTATCCAGTACTGGCCTCATGGCCTTCCGTGTACTAAATTGTCAGTCTTGTTTACTGTAAACTGTGTAAAATGACCTTGTCTTTCTGCCCCAGCGCCTTCAAATCCCCAGAGGAGTTTTTCTGATCCTATTGCCTTCCAGACCATCTCTCCCTACACGCACATACAAATGACGCAGCAACACTCAGTCTTGTTTCTTAATCTTGAGCCAAACCCTGACTCCCATCCTGATTCTCTTCCTCTGTTGCCTTATCCCGGGGCAGCCCATTAGTTCATGGAGAACAGTTCTCCTAGATCCATCAGGAAAATTGGGCCAATAATGGGAAACCTTGCCCTCTCTCACTGAATATGATGCTGACAGTAATGTCACTGTCTTCCAGTGAGTATAATCTGAGTGCCCACCCCTACGTGAGGCCCTTGACGAACAGGATCTCATTTCATTCTCACGACAACAGCTGCCCTTGATCCAGGGCTCACAGACGGCCCGACTCTGAGTACTTCACACAAACTGAAGCTTTGCATCCTCCCAACAGCTCTATGGAGGAGGAAGCTGAGTCCCTACACAGTTAAGTCACCAGCCCAAAGTCGCACAGCCATGAAGCAGTAGGGCTACAGCAACAGCCCAGTGCCCGGCCCTTCACCGTGTGCTTGGAAGCCTCTCTGTCCTACAGGGAGGTCACTGCTCTGTGTTTAGCATCCAGGGAAACTGAGGCTCTGACGTTTAGTGAAGGGCTCAACGTGACTGGGTTATGGATGGGTGTAGCAGCACTGTCCCTGGGGAGGCTCACTTCCAAGTCCAGGCTCCATGCCCCATGTCATGCTGTCACGGTGGTATGGAAACATCTGGAAAGTACTTTCTACTGTGCAGTGTGTTAGATGTGCAAACAACTGTGAATATTAATATATTCTTTTCACACTGTGTTGCTTGCAGGCCTCCTCTAAATATGAGCTCATATCTATTTGCTGGGAAACAGTTGTTCTGGGTAACGATTAGAGCTGGGTACAGATGGGCCTCATGATGCATTCATGGCCAAGGAGCTCCTGAGTCCTTTTGACCCTGCCCATGGAGGGAGCTCAACCAAGGGTCTGTGATGAAGCAGAGGCGTGGCTTCATCCCTCCAGGAAGTCCTAAGTTGACAGCTGACCTTCAAGCCAGTGATCTTTGGGGAAGTCTGAGATCATAACTTTGGGGTTGTGATGGCAGCCAGCTCCCCCGTGCTCCACAACCCTCCCTGGTCCCTCACCCGACACTCACATTCACACACACTCACACTCACACACACACTTCCCCATGAAATAAGCATGAAATCCTAGGCTGCAGCCACAGCTCAAAGCACTGGAGATTAAGGCTAACAGTCAACCATTTGCCAACCGTTTCAAGACATGTCCCTTCACCGTGGAGCAGTTGAGCTGGTGTAAGAAGTAACTGGTCACTGGCTTAGATCTCTTCAGTTGGTGGAAAGCCAGAGAGGAAAGAGACCCCCCACAACCCGCAGTCCCCTCCCCTCACCCCCTTATGCTTACACCACAGACTCAGGGGCTCTGCCGACAACTGGGGGTCTCCCCTACTGTATGGAGAACCTCACTCCTCTCCATCATCTGTGTGCAGACCCACTCCTGCAGCTCCAGTGATGGGCTGTGGCCAGGGGAGAGGAGACGCCTCAACTCAGGTGTCCTGCCATCATGCTCCTGAGGAGCTCAAAGGGATCCCACAGCAGTTGGTAGACACTAGGTCTAGAATAATCTGTTCACATTCTGGAGTTAATAAGCAGAAATAAAGGATCTAGAGATAAGGATAAAAGATTCCAGTCTATTCTCAATTGCAACAGAAATAGCATACCCTCATGTGTGTAACATAGGTGTACTGACCTACAGTGGAAAGAAACCGCAGTACTTTACTCATTGCTATGAAAGAAGATTTGAAGATATGAAAACCTAGTCCACGCTGTCAGCTTTTCCCGAAGGAACCCATGGGCTTAATGCTGCTTTTGTGTGTAATTGTAATCAACATTTTTAGGGAATTTGATCAAAATGATTCTAAAGTTCACCTGAAAGAAAAAAGCAGTTAAGTACAGTTAAGGAATTTTTGGTGCCATCCTGGGGCAGGGAGGGTGAGGGTCCTGTTGAATGACTGAGACCCTGCCCGTGATCCCAAGAGAGACTGACTTCAGTGTTGAGAAGAGGGGTCCAGCTCCAGTGCTCTGGGGGCTGTGGGACCGGAGTGCTCCTGGACTGGCTTCGGGAATGCCGTGTGGCAGAGGCAGCATTAGAGAATAGGGGAGTCTAGATGTGTGAAATGGAGAGGCCTGAAGGACATCCCTGGAGCAGAGGAGCACCCAGCCACAACAGGGACCCAGGGATGCCCTGGGTGCGTGCAGGGAGGGTTGGTGAGGAGCCTGGAGTTGGATGGCCTGCTGGTTCGTCTGGGCACTGGGTCTGGATTCCCAAGCAGTTGGGATGCATAGCTGAAAATGTGAGCTGGTGAGGAGCCTCTTCTTGGGGAAGATGATTCTATGAGGCTGGGATTGGGGGAGAGCAGAGCCAGGTGACCAGGGGAGAGGAGACACTCGAGTCAGCCTAAGAAGGGAGCCTGGGGCCCTGGACAGACAGTAGGTGCAGAGGAATGTGAGAATGGTGGCCAGGGAGACAGGTGGCTCAGGACAGGGTCTGGGCAGAGTGGCCCCTCAGGCTAGGCCTAGTGACCTGGAGGCTGGGGAGGCCTAGAGAGAAGGGGGCAGGGGAGGTGAGCATGGACAATATGGTGAGCCAGCAGGAAGGTGGCAAGAGAGGGCAAGCCTGGGCCGTGGCTCTGGAGGGTAGAATGGCCAGCTAGGGAGTGGAGACCAGAAAAAGGGGGATTGCTGATAAATGATCAAAGCACTTGCTGTATGCAGAGAATTCAGGATTCTATTCATAGTGGTTATGTGGGTGGTTGGAAAATAAGCAAATTTACTTTCTTGTGCATATTTTTATGTATTGTCTAGTTTCTACAATGGGCAGGTATTACTTTTATAATGAGGAAAAGTAAAAATGTTTATCTGTAAAAGAGAAAACATTAACTTGATGAAACCTAGGGTGAGTTTACATAGAAAGTTGCCTAGAAAATGACATTTAGCAAGGTACTCAGTCTTGTCGTGCTGGGGAAAGTCAGCGTGTGGAATCCCTTCCCATCTCTGGGCTCAGCTCTGCTCTGCACATAGGGGTGCAAGTCCCAAAGGGTGTGTGTATTTCCCGAAAGTTTCATCGGGTCAGATATCCCTGTGGGTGTGGAAGACGACAACGTCAGGCTCAGGTGTCTCAGTTCCTTGAGAACATAGTTGTAAATTCAAGGGGTTTTAGGTGTTTTGTTTTCCTAATGTGGCTATGTTGGGGGGAAAACCACGATCATTCTAAAGAGTTTCTAAAGATTTTAAAACTAGGGTGATGAAAAGGACAGTCTCAGTAAGAGAAAGCAGCATTCAGTGCCCTTTGTCATTCACAGGTGCTCAGGTAACATTTTATGTATGAATGACAGGTTCACGGAAGCCCAAAGTCTGCCCACTACATGGAGCACCTGTGGGGACTGGTGGGAGTTTCTGGGGACTGATGGGCCCAGACAGACCTAGCAGTGGGCTCAGTGGGATTCTGGGCAGCAGAAGGGCGGGCTTGAATAGAGAAGGAATTCGGCAGGCCCCAGCAGCCAGGGAAACCACAGCTTCCTGATCCCCATTGCAATGGCTTCTCAGTGACCTTCTCTCTCTTCTCTTCCCTGCAGGGGAGGTACATCAACTTCACCCTAGTGAAGCCGCCTTGCGGGCAGTTATCCTGTGGCCCGAAGATCTGCCTTGCACCCAGCCAGGAGTGCTTCCCCAACAGCTGCTGTTCACGGTGCCAACACCCTCAACCCATCTGCTCCCGGCCTCCCTCCAGGATGCTGCCGCTGATCCCTCCCCCTGCCCGCACCCTCTATGGAGCCACTTTGTCAATCTCACCCCAGTAGCCCAACCTCTAAAGCACCAAAGATTGTTAAGAGCCCCTTGTGTACTGAATTGTACGTATATATTGAGTCTTGGTTTACAGTCAAAAGGAGTTGGAATTTATTGCTGGTCAGCAAGCGATTTTGCTACCTGGTGAGTGTTGCTCTGCTGTATGAGACGTATCTATACTGCTCCTGCAGGGACAGAGCACTCTGGTGTCCTGTGGATGTAGACATGGATGAGTCCCACTCCCCACAGCCTGGTCTTCATCTGTCACCAAGGGCTGGGACGCATGGGGTTTTAGCCAAATTCTGCTCTTTGAAAAAGCCCAAAACATCTTTGAACTATGACCACAATCCTGTGTCTCCTTCCCTGATTTTATGCAGAGAGAAGTTCTTGAATTTCTCACTCCTTCACTCCATGTCCCTGGTTTCTATTTTTTGGCTACCCACATTCCAAATGTGTCATAGAAAGAGACGAGGCCCATCAGCTGGAAGTGCCACTTCCCTTCCCCGATACCCCAAACTGTCCCTAAGCCCAGGAGAATTTTAGAGGCTCCTCTCCATTTCCCTAGAGAAGGTAAACCTCCCCTATTAGCCCTTTGCCACCACAGAAGAAACCATGTTCCCACAGAGACGTTTTAGCGTGCGGTGTCCTGCGAGCCAGTGTGTGCACGCATGTCTGTGTGACTGCTCCAGTGCCGAGCACACAGCCACGGCAGATGACGCGGGACCCCTGGGTGCTTCAGGAGGGGTCCTGCAGTGGGGACCATGACCAGTTGTCCCTAATCCCTGTTGATAGTCAGTAAATTAAACTGCTCTCTCCCCCACCCCCATCTCCTCGAATGTTATATTTATGCCTTTCAGTTGAATTTCTGCCAGACAACTATAGGTAAAAATATGTCAGGTTTGGGTTTGTAATCTGTATTGATTGAAGTGGATGAATAGAGATGACCATAATATTCCCCATGTTTAAAAAAATGAAAAAAAAAGTTTTGCTGGAATGGCTTGTACGTATATATGTAGGGACTGTTTGCAGGGTTCCCCTAGGTCACATGACCTTGAACCTTCAAAGCATTTATACCTGGAGTTGCCCTTTCTTGAAGACCCCTCCCCCACTGCTTTGTCCTGTCACAGCTTGGGTTCCACATCTGTGTCCTGCCAACAGCCAGGACAGGAGCGGGGAGAGGGGGCGTCTCCCACCCCCTCGTGGGCCTAGTCCATCTCCGCTAGCACATCCATCTCCCAAGCTATTTATATTTTCCCTTGGCCCAAAATGCCAGGCACAAGGCAATTCAGAGAAGTACACCAATGAAAATGGAGGAAATCGAAGAGGGCACTTAAACCCCTGTGGGGTGGGACTCAGTTGTCTGATTTGGGCCCCATGCGGAGACTCATTCCCAGAGCAACTGTAGGTGCTGAGAGCAGCCACTCTGTACCTCACTTCCTAACATCCTTCATGGAACGTGAGGCCTTTGTCACTGTTGTGTTTTGGTTTGGTTTTGTGTCACAAAGAGTAAAAGCCACTGGTTGTGTAAATACAGAGGATGGTAACGAGGGGCTCCTGATGCCTGGCTGGCAGGTGACCCTGCCCGCCTATGCAACCCCCTGGGGCAGGGTCCAGAGAGGTGAGTCACAGACTCTGTGCAGGTGTGGGTGGGCCCCACTGGTTCTAGAGCCTTCGCTGAGCTCCCTGGCGCCTCCGGGTCATGTACACATTCCAGCTTTAAAAAGGCAACTGGGACTTTGGGTCTTTTTGAGAATCAGGGAAAAATGTTTATTGTATTCATGATACCAAGGAAAGTGTGTAAAACTTTTTTTATTAAGAAGAAAGAGCATTAAAATAACCTGAAAGTGTATAGAGAGATTTTATCTCTTCATTAGAACTGGAATGTTTCAGATTGTCCGTAATTGGTGAAAGCATTGTCTTGGCCTGAGGTTCAAGGACACTTTGCTGAAACTGGCTCTGTGCTCCTGCATTATATCCACGTATAAGCATAAGACGGTACATGCCCATCTCTGAGACTCGGTGACCCTGTATGGAGAAATGTATATGTGATTTAATAAAGGGCTTATTGTGACCTATAATATATAATATATACTATATAATAATGTGACCCTGACTGAAATCAACATACCTGTGTATTAATGGATGTTGAGAGCTGTCTTAGTTTTAGCCAATATGGACTAAGGCCCATTGCTCCTGAATGTTCCATCAGAGGACATCTGGGAGGTACACTGGTCCGCCCTTTGCCACCCACACCAACCCTCATTCCCTCGCCTCACTTTCTGTGGTGAACAGTAACAGGAGGCAGCAGGAAAGGGGAGTTTCATTGGCAATCTCTTCCTGGGCCATCTCTCGCCCTGCCTTCCCCTCTCTAGCTCAGCCCATCTCTGGCTTGGCCTTAAGCAGGGACCTCCTCACCCTAGTGAAGAGGAAGAGGCTGTGGTCTGCAGCTGATGCCTGACACCCAGGGGCTGCCTTTTGTCCCACCTCCCCCTCTTGGCCTGAGTTCTTGGGTGGAGCCAGATATTTTTAGAAAAGAAATCTCACATGTGAGCTGTCCCAGACTGAGACGCCTACAAAGGGGAATATACTGGGCAATGCTTGTTCCTTATTTTAGACTAGGGCAGTAAAAATGCACATTGTCTGAGTGTCTCTTGGTGTCATGTGAAGCAGCCCCTGTAGACTCAGAATGGACCTCCAAGCCTGGGCCAAAGCTTGTGCTTCTGGAAGCCAGGAGCCCCCAGCCCCCACAAGGGTTAGCTGCAGGCCTCCTCTATAAGCACACAAGCAGAAGTGCACACACTCCCATGTTGGAGCTTGTGTTCCTAACAAAGCTGTGGCCTTAACAGCAGTTCCCCCCTTGTCTGTGTACCAGGACCCCCAGAGCAGGCCCAGGACATGGAGGAGGTCAGGGCAGCAGAGGGAGCTCCATTTCTCAAGCATGCCCGGCGCTTGCACTTGCTGTGCTAGGCCACCTGTCCCCACGGGAAAGTCGTCTACTGAAGTGTCCATTCAGTTTCACTCTCTCGCTGTCTCACTTGATCTCTCTGTTTTCCATTCCACGTTCCAAACACGTAGCCAGGCCTTTGGTATTGCCTGGATGTTTGCAGTGGAAAACAAGTGGCCTGAGTCACCCTTTCTTCCTTCTTGTGTCAAGACTGCAGCTCCCGAGGGGCAATGCTTAGTGTCTCTGAGTGGGGGGATGGAGTGGAGAGCGAGGGAGGAGAGAGGTCAGGGGTCAGAGAGGGTGGCTGCCCAATACCAGACCCTAGAGGGGTGGCTGGGTGGTGAGCCAGGGACCCAACCTCACCAGAGCCTCCAGGGCTGAAGGGCTCATGTAGGCCGGGCACAGCATGACTCGAGGGTAGGCATGAGGACTGCTGACCAGGGACCTGCTGCATGCAGGACTTTGGCCCAACCCTGGAGGAAGAGCAGCCCCCAGGAGCGTATGAAAATTACATTCTTAAATATGAAGAATTCCATTTTTAAATCATGAATCTTTCAGGTGAACCACAAAGCTTGCAAAAATTTCACAGACTACTCCAAAATGTGCCCCTAGCTTGTTCACGTCCTTTGTCAACCGGGGAACTTTCGTGGAAAAGTTTAAGAAATCCTGCCATCAGGGCTCCCTATGCGGAGACCCCAGCCTGACCATGCCTCTAGGCTGTTTAGGGTCAGGGCCCACAGCGGACACCAGAAGGACAGGGCTGTAGTGGCTGTGGGTCCTGACCTGTGGTCAGATAGGCAGCCAGGCCCCAGTGGGACCAGAAATTGGAAAGCTCACGGGATCCACACTTGGTCTTCTCTTTCAGGTTCTCCTGCTCTCTGGGCCATGTGGCTTCTGGGCTCTGCCCCTCCACTCTCTCTGCATCTGCCGCTTTCTCCCCTATCTCTGCCTCCCTGTGCACTTGGCTGCCCACCGCCCCACAGTCCCTGGTTGCTGGTCTTCTACTCAGGTGGACTGGCTGCTCCCCAGTGCCACACTGCTAGGGGACGATGTCCGTGCCTGGTCCAACCACCAGGGTCATATACAAACAGCTGCTGTCAGGCCCAGCATAGGGTGTGGGGGCAGTTTTGAGGGTGTGACATGGGCTGAGCATGCACTTCCAACCTTGTCTTTAACATGTGGAGGAGCCTGACCCATCTCTCTCTCCATGAGTGGCCCCTGTCCCCCTACAGCCTTCACTCCTACTTGTTTTTCCCACCTACTTTGTCCTTCTGATGCCCCAGGAAGCTGAGGCATGTGAGCAAGAGCCCCTCAGTGTCTGCTTTCACCTGCCCCCAGTACCTGCCTCTTCTGTCAGAGTCACACGCCTGCCTCTGCCTCCAACCTGCAGACGGACTTGTGCCAGTTGGGAGAATAGGGCTGGGCTTGGGCAGTCGGGGGAGAGAGAGAAGTCCAGTCTCTTATGTGCAGGAAATGGGGTGTGGGGGTGTCTGGGCTCAGTTAACAACAAAGCCGTTGTATTTGTTTGCTCAGATTGCCGTAACAAAGTACCACAAACTGGGTGGCTTAAACACAAATTTATTTTCTTACAATTCTGGAGGCTAGAAGTCCAAGATCAAGGTATCTGCAGGGCTGGTTTCTTCTGAGCCCTCTCCTTGGCTCGCAGATAGCCATCTTCTCCCTGTGTCTTTACATGGTTTTCCTCCTGTTTATATCTGTGTCCTAATTTCCTCTATAAGGACACCTAGTATATTGTATTAGGGCCCACCCTAATGACCTCATTTAATTTAATTACCTCTTTAAAGACTCCATCTCCAAATACAGTCACATTTTGACATACTGGGGGATTAGGGCTTCAACAGATGAATTTAAAGAGGACACATAATAGCCATTTATCCACTGACACCATCAAGAGTCCCTCTTCAAATGATGGGTTCTAGGGGACAGTGGAGTCCTGGGAAAAGACTCCTACAAGCTTTGGAGACAAAAAGGCCACAGCTCCTGCTCAACTCCATCGTTACAGACGAGCTGGATGACCACAGGCAGGTCACCGTCACCTCTGTAGATACC